CTAAATCCTAAACCGTGGACCCGTAGGGAAATTTAACCCGCGCCAGGCTCGAAGGATTCCCCCTCGCACGAGCGATCATCGACAGATCCACCGACGGAGAGCCATACGCAGGCACAGGGCTTTAAGGGTTTCGGGCTTTACCCCCAGGCTCCATAGTAGTTCCTGTTGGGGAATACTTTAGAGATTCTATGTATGAATCCCCAAAAAGCAACTACTATGAAGCCTCTAAGTAGGGGTATTGGGATTTAGATTGGGGTTCTTCCAGGGCTTGGCGTCCCTGCACAAAGGGTTTGAGTAGGGATTCATATGGTTTAGGGTTTATGGGTTCCCTCAAGGGTTCCTTGGAAGGTTTGCTTGTGCAGGGGTTTAGGGGTATTTGGATTTAGATTGTGTTTGTGTTTCTTGCCGGGTTTGGGGATTTGGTTTAGTAGACTTTCGGCTTCCGTGTTCAAGGTGTTAGGGCTTTTGAGGGTTAACAGAGCTAGGCATGGTCTGATCTGTGAAATCGATTTTGAGGTCAGATTTTTTTCGTTTGAGGAGTAATAGAGGGGCCTAAACAAGTACCAATGTTGTATGGTGGGCCCCAAAACCCTATTCTAATCATTTAGGCCCCTATCGTAGGAGTCGCGAGTCTGCCAGTAGCCCCAAGCCCATCGGGGGTCCTTTAGGGTTCCTCTGGCCCAAAATTCTACAAAATCGTAGGACATGAGCCTTCGATTACAGGATATCACCCATGAAACAGTCGGTGTTTGGATTCAGGTAGAGTTTTTGTATGGTGACAAATCTTCCAAGCCTTCAGCCCGTGCTGCTTTGTAGAGGAATGAGGTCGCTTAAACTTAAAGGAACGTATAAACAACCTATGATTTCGCTGGAACCCTGAAACCCCACATCCCCAAAATCCCAAAGTCGTAAACCCTAAACCCTTCACCCAAAACCCAAAGCCCTTACACAAAGAAACCTTTCAAGGAGCCCTTAAGGGAACCCATAGACCCAGAACCCCCGACATCCCTGAACCGTAAGAATCCCCACCCAAACCCGTTGTGCAGGAACCCCAGGCTACCACAGAGAAGGTCGCAGAACAGACAGGCCTTGGGCTCTTGGCTCTTAACGGTTGCTTTAAGGGGCGTTTTAAGGGTTTAATAGGTTCCTTTGAGGGTTCCTTCAATTTTCAGTGGTTTTGCGAGTTGATGTAAAGGGTCCTATAAGGGTTTTAGGATTCGTTCAAGGGTTCCCTAAGGGGTTCTATGAGGGCTTTATTGCTTCGGAGTTTTCAGTTTGCATACCTCGTAAAATCTTGAAATCAGGCTGTGGTAAAGATTCCAGTAATTTAAGCTATATTCCTAAGTACGTAGGACCTTTAGGTTCTATTTGGCGTAGGGCTTGCTCTGTGTCTTAATATATACTGTGTATGTACGGAATTACAAATTTAAAGAATTTAAAACTTTAAAAAAGGGAGTAAATTCTTTAAATTTTGAAATCGTCCAGAATTAAAAATTTAAAGAATTTAAAAAATAAAGGAGGTAAATCCTTTAAATTTTTAAATCGTCCGGAATTAAAAATTTAAAGAATTTAAAATTTAAAAGGGCTAAATTCTTTAAATTCTTTAAATTTTGGAATCGTCCGGAATTAAAAATTTAAAGAATTTAAAGAATTTTAAAATTTTAAATGTTCAGCTCCAGCCCCAGCCCCAGCCCCCCAGCCTCCGACCCCAGCCCACGGAATTAAGTTTTTTAAATTCTTTACATTCTTTAAATTTTGAAATCGTCCGGAATTAAAAATTTAAAGAATTTAAAGAATTTTAAAAATTTAAATGTTGAGCCCCAGCCCCAGCCAGCTCCAGCCCAAGCCCCCAGCCCCAGCCCCCAGCCCCCCCAGCCCAGCCAGTCCCAGCCCCCAGCCCAACCTCAGCCCCCAGCCCACCCCCACCAGGCCCAGCCCAAACCCCCAGCCCGCTCCCAGCCCCAGCCAGTCCCAGCCCCCAACAGCCCTGCCCAACCCCGCCCCAGTGGCCCAGCCGCAGCCGGCAGCCCTCCCGAACCCAAGCCACCACCCCCAACAAGCTTAGCAGCCTGCCCAACCCCAGCCCAAGCCCGAGGGAGGGCCCCGGCCCCCGGCGACACGCCTTGCGAGTTGATTTTAGAACCTATTTGTTGAAAAAACCTTTAGGGGGACACTCATTGCGATCTGTGATGCTAGTAATGGAGTTCTTACAAAACCTTAGTTAGGGGGACACCCCTTGCGATTCGTGTTTTTGAAACATATTTATTACAAAAACCCTTAGGGTGACACCCCTTGCGATCTATGGTTTTCGGATCTGAGTTACAGGTGTTTTGCTGGACCACAGGTCACTTCCGCCAGATTTTGCCAGCAGATGTGTGAAATCCCTAGCCCTTGTTTTCATGCTGTATTTACAGGTGTTTTGCTGGACAACAGGTCACTTCCGCCAGATTTTGCCAGCAGATGTGTGAAATCCCTAGCCCCTGCTTTAGCGCGGTATTTACAGGTGTTTTGCTGGACCACAGGTCACTTCCGCCAGATTTTGCCAGCAGATGTGTGAAATCCCTAGTCCTTGTTTTCATGCGGTATTTACAGGTGTTTTGCTGGACCACAGGTCACTTCCGCCAGATTTTGCCAGCAGATGTGTGAAATCCCTAGCCCTTGTTTTCACGCCGTATTTACAGGTGTTTTGCTGGACCACAGGTCACTTCCGCCAGACTTTGCCAGCAGATGTGTGAAATCCCTGGCCCTTGTTTTAACTCGGTATTACAGGACCACAGGTCACTTCCGCCAGATTTTGCCAGCAGATGTGTGAAATCCCTAGCCCTTGTTTTCATGCGGTACTTACAGGTGTTTTGCTGGACCACAGGTCACTTCCGCCAGATTTTGCCAGCAGATGTGTGAAATCCCTAGTCCTTGTTTTCACGCGGTATTTACAGGTGTTTTGCTGGACCACAGGTCACTTCCGCCAGGTTTTGCCAGCAGATGTGTGAAATCCCTAGCCCTTGTTTTCATGCGGTATTTACAGGTGTTTTGCTGGACCACAGGTCACTTCCGCCAGATTTTGCCAGCAGATGTGTGAAATCCCTAGCCCCTGCTTTAGCGCGGTATTTACAGGTGTTTTGCTGGACCACAGGTCACTTCCGCCAGATTTTGCCAGCAGATGTGTGAAATCCCTAGCCCTTGTTTTCATGCGGTATTTACAGGTGTTTTGCTGGACCACAGGTCACTTCCGCCAGATTTTGCCAGCAGATGTGTGAAATCCTTAGCCCTTGTTTTCATGCGGTATTTACAGGTGTTTTGCTGGACCACAGGTCACTTCCGCCAGATTTTGCCAGCAGATGTGTGAAATCCCTAGCCCTTGTTATAGCGCGATATTTACATGCTTTCTGCTCGGTCGCGGCTCGGGCAGGGAAGGCTGGGCGTGCGGAAGCAGGCAGCCGTGCCCACCCACCCCGTCCCATCCCACCACACACCTCACTCCACCCCTCCCTCTTTATCATCCACCTCATCATCTTCACTATCTTCCTCCTCCTCATCCCTCGTCCTCCTCCCATACCCCTCCCTCCCTCTCCCTATCCCTCCCACTACCCCCTCCCCTCACCTTCCTCACTCTCCCCCACCTCCACTCCCTCTACCTCTCCTCTTCTCCTTTCTTTCTCCTGGAATCTCCACCCTCCCCCACCCTCCCTTCTCTCCTTCTTACCCTGGGGATCGCAAGACCTTGTTATATGAGGTCTCGGGTGAAAGTCCCGGTCTTTGGAGGGGTTGTATACCGAGTCCTAAAAAAATGAGGCCTTGGGAACCATCGGATGCCAAGGAACGAGGACGATGTAAAGTATATAAAATTAAATAGGCGGATATGAAGTCAAGGCTGATCTGTACAAGTGGAGCAAGTTCCCCATACCAATACGACATGGATCAGGAGGAAACCATCCCAGTCCAATGACATGGACGGCGGAAAATACTCCAAGTCGCCGAATAGCTGACCAAGTGCACAATTTCACAGCACTTCGTGTGCACGTGGGTTGAAAAATTATCCCGAACCCGCTTAATTTGGTAGCGGCAAATGGAAATATTCATTTCACGCTACCGAATTGCCACCCAAGATATGTATATATCTATATATATCTTTATATATATATATATATGTATACGTGATTCTATTATACATATACAAGTTTATCCCTATTCACATTTCGGAATCCAAGTCTGCTTTGGGCAGACTGTGCTTCGAGTTCCGTGTGGCGGTGGCCGAGTTTGGGCCAGCTTGGGCATGTAAACTGGGAATTCCTTAGCAACTTGTCTTTAATTTTGTAGATCGCTAGCTGCTATGAATTTCATTCTGGTTCGCAGTTCGCATTGTAGAGAGTCGCCCCGGTGGACCATTAAAGCACTCCATCCCTAATAACTTCCTTGACCTGTCAAACCCGAGCTCTCTGCTTGTCAGGACCATGCAGTGCACCGTTGCCGTCTGAGTGTACAGGTACCGATACTGAACCCTAAGCCTGATGTGTGTTGTAGATATAGCAGGCCGATGATACTATGTTATCCCATAAACCTGAAATAGGTGTTGCAATCCCCACCTGCTCATGAGGCGGCTGTGTGTCCCAGCTGTGTGTGCGTCTTGTAAGCTGCCAAAGCAGGCAACCGATGCTAAGCCCTCACTAAATTTAAACCTGAAGCGTTTCATGCCCTCACCTGCTCGTGAGGCAGCTGTGTGTATCCTAGCTATAAATTTAAGAAATGAAGCGTGCTTTGGCAATGGGCAGAGAACGCATGCTGGCTTCACAGCGAGCGGGTTCGAGTTCCAGGTCAGCTGACGGTGCACCCTCCGCCGTGCATATGCATGACTGTGTGTGTGTGTGTGTGTGTGTGTTTGGCTGCAGATGTACTTGATTAGATGTTGCCGTTGTTGGTGCCCGTCGTATGCCAGCTGTGCACTGCTGTGTGCGAGAGTTTTGGGGCCCGAGACTAGTGCGAATTGCACAGTTCTGCCGGCCATGTCGGATGTGCCTACCGCTGAGACTCGATTCAGCAGTTATGGGTTATGTAGCTTCGGAAACATTCATATTGATCATGATGTTGTTACAAATCTCAGGAAACCTCGGCCAGAGAGGCCCAGGTGGAAGCCGTGCACGAAGTGTTGAAATCGATTCTGGAACCCTGTGATTGGACTGCCATACGGGCAGACGAGGCCCCTGTGCCCAGAAATCTCCTTTCCAGGCCCTCCCTTTTGATCAGCTCTGCTGGCAGGCCAAAGTGTTGGTCCCTCTCACGGAGGCCTCCGTCCTGGCAGGAGGCGTGTTCGAACGGGACGCAGCCAGTATGCACGTGATATTTGTTGCATCTTGGAATCTTACGTGTGCGAGCTACATGCGGGAGTCCCGGGAGTGAGATATATGTCTAGCCAAGATCATCCTAAATTTTGAGATGGTTATCTCGATGTTTGCCAAAGTGGAGCTGGACGTTCCTTCTGCCGGGGTGTTCAAAGAACCCTGACTGCACAATCCGCCACTGCAACCTGTGAGTCACACAATCGCCGAATGCCACAAGCTTTCCGAGCATAAACCGAGGACGCCTTCTTGAAGGTGAACAACGATCGCGGGCTCCTGGTCCTTGGGGCTGTGAAACCAGACCCGCAGCCGAAAGGCCGATCAAAGAAAGTGCTCAAGAAAGAAATCCAAGAATCCCGTCAGCTTTAGTGTAGGCTTCTCTGTGTGTGATCAGTTGCTTAGCACTGCGAGTTCTATTGCTGTATAAGTATATATATATATAGAGAGAGAGAGAGAGAGAGAGAGAGAGAGAGAGAGAGAGAGAGAGAGAGAGAGAGAGAGAGAGAGAGAGAGAGAGCCAAGGACTGGGCAGGGCAGCAAGGAGGTCGCTTGAGAGCGATGCTCGCGCTTTGTCTTAGGATGACGAAGCGCACTGTGGTCGCGAGGAGCGGTGCTGGCTTCCTGTGTGGCATACGTAATAAGAAAAAGCCTACGCTATTGAGATACAAACACACCAACCTGCACACGCACACGCACACCCACCCGCCCACCCACCCACCCACCCACCCACACACACGCCCACACACACCCACACACACCCACGCACACACCCACTCCCACGCACCCACTCCCACACACCCAGACACCTACACACACCCACTCCCACGCACCCACTCCCACACACCCACACACCTACACACACCCACACACACCACACACGCACAGACACACACACACACACACACACAGACCAGGAGCGAGGAGATGCAGGCCATCAAGAACTTCCTATCCTCTTGTGCCGGTTTCGAGAAGTTCGTGAAGGCCAATGAATTTTGAAAGGGTTGGGGTTGAATCGGATGTTGGGTAACTCCAATGATCGTTCAGGAGGCTGAGTCGGGGAGCACGACAGCAGATATCGGAGAAGTCGGAGAAGCAGTGCACGCCACTTGCCGAGTGTGTAGAATCGAATATTCAAATTCAGGGTGCGAACACAATCCCTTCGACGTCCGAGGTGCCTGGCTTCACCTCCGAAAGCCTGGGCGACAGCGTGGACGGCGAGGGCGAGCCGACTGAAGAGGCAGCACTGCCGGGATCAAATTTAACCTGGGATTTGTATTTAATTTGTTCTCGGTGGAAAGAACGAGGAAATTCTAGACCGTGGCGCCCTAAAACTTTGCGTTGTTGAGGCTTGCAGGTGGGTGTTTTCGGAATTTGGGTCTGGCTGCAGTGAGTTCGATGCCCCAATTGAGCTTCAATACTGTATAATCAAGCCCTTGTCAAGCCTCCAACCCTATATATCTGCACAACGCCTACATGTCAAAACCGCCCTTTAAACCTAAAGTGTGACCCCGTACTTGCAATTCGAAACCCCAAGCCGCCCCTCCGAATTACCTACGCCGCCAGGATGAAGACATGTGTACGAACGAACCCGAAGCTGCTCGGGCGGAGGACTGCGGCGCTAACTTGGAAAATGCACGAGTCGAATCCTACAGAATAATATTTAGTCTTGATCAGGTACAAATGCTTCAGTAGAACCCGGTTGCACTTGGGGTCAAGGTGGGCTGCGAGTCTGGGCACCGAAGCTTCCGATAGTTAAGAATGCAGGCCCCAATCATGAGCAATTCGGGTTTTTGTGAACCAATCAGTTCCTCAACCTCTTGGCTTGCGATCAGGACCCAGTGGCCCCAGCATCGACGGACATGCCAGATGTGTCGATGGAGGACGACGATTAGTTTGCAAATCGCAGAAAGGAGCTTACCTACTTGTTGGAGTTCGGGGTATTTTATATAAGATCAGGGAATGTATGTACGCATGTGTGTGTGTGTATATATGTATATACACATAGGTATGTGAGCTTCCTCGGGTTTTTGCCTCTCGGTGCAGGTGTTGCTTTATATGACATATTTAGGGGCTTGGACGTTAGGGGGCTTTGGGCTTACTTGGATTAAGATTAAACAAGGCCGGCTCGAATTGAAATTGGGCATATAGTTCATGCAGTTGTGGTTTATCGAAAGAATTATACACAGAGTCGGGTCTTGGGGTATCGTCGGTTTAAGTTTAAGTGAGAAGAATGGGCATTGGCTTCCAGGGTTTATCACGCTCGGGACGATCACTCTAGTACAACATGACAACTAAACTTGTAACCCACAACTGAAACGCAAAACCCCGAAAGCCTCATGACCACAACCGCAAATCCCAAAGGATCGACTTTAGATTTTGGTCGGCTTTCTAGGGCCCTTAGGGACAACTGTGCTAGGTATACGAGTTAGCTCCAGTGATTCGACCGGATAGACCCAAGACCCAGATCCAGATCTAGAATTAATGCTGACGGATCCCTCCAGGATTCGCAAATCCCTTCGCCAGCGCCAGCATCCCCGCCACCGGAGAAGGACCCACAACCTCGGAGCATTTTGGGAGTTTAGTATTAGAAGTCCTGTCGTCGTTGCGAGTGTTTCTATATTTGCCCAAAGAGTTGTGCTTTATGTACTTCACAAGGCAGACTCTGGACAGGTTTCGGGGCGCTGTGCAAAAGGATTTGCTAAGGTGGGGTTTCAAGTGTACAACAAGGATTCCGGACCTTTGATTGAGGGTTTTGTTGTTGTTAATTTACGGTTTCAAGGTTTGGGCCTGGGGTTGAGATTTTGCTTTGAAGGCTCGACGCCCAAACTTTCAACATTCCTCCTATAATTTGAGGGGGACGGGGAGGGGACGGGGATTGCTGACAATCCCAGACCCCCAAACTATTTAGAAACCGTGAGCCCTAAAGTCAAACCGTGTAGTCTGTACATGTGCAGGATGATAAGAAGTTGCTGGACAAGAGTGCGGTGCCAGCACCGCAGAAGGCGTTGCACGAGCAACTAAAGGCATTGCAGTGCCCAGACGCAGACCTGACGGTGTTGCAGCAGCAACAGCAGCTGAAGAAGAACGCCAGAGAGGAAAAGGCTGCCAAGGTGCTGGCACGTGCCGCCGGCACCGAGTCAGCATATTAATTGTAGAACTTCGATCATGCATGTGTAGCTATGGATATTGTTATTGCTGTACACACAGTCGCATTTCACTGTATCTGAGGCAAGGGTGGAGGTCGTGGGAAAAAAAAGAGCGGCACAAGCGATGCTGCAGGCGTAGTGCCCGAAGGCGAGCAAGCAGACACGGAGCCCAGCCACACAGAGAATCCGGAGACAGGTGTGCCAAACGAAGACCAAACCGACGAGCCCGGCCACACAGAGAATCCGCAGACAGACCAAGACCAAACCGAGGAGCCCGGCCACGAGAATCCGGAGACAGGCGTGCCAGACGAAGACCAAACCAAGGAGTCCGGCAACGCGGGGAAGCCTAAGCCCAAAGGCCCAAAACGGGCTCAGGCGACTGCCGAAAACAGTGGCGAAGCAAAGAAGCAGAAGACCACGAAGGAGGCACATTTCGTAATATAGACAAGCCAGTGTATGATTCGCGCACAACATGCACACACGCCACGAGTGTGAACTTGGCTGCAGACCCGGACCGTTGCGGACGTGCACAAAGATCTCTACAAGATGAACAACATTGGCCTAAGAATGCCCACAGCCGCGGAGCTCAAGCAGAAGCAGCTATGGCAGCACTAATTATTGAGACATATGCTGGAGAGCATGAAAACCGATGACATCCTCCTACACTGGATTTCCTGAGGTCCTATACGATTCATGATCCCAGCCATTTGGGAAGCGGTGTGCAAGTCCTCCCCAACCACAACGGGTTCTACGTGCTCCACATGAAGCAGCAGCAATGGTTCGTGGACGTCGCAAAAGCGCACTTAATCCAGGCCTCAACTCATGGTTTCCTACTTCGTTTGCCATGTACACACACACACACACACACACATTTATTATACACTATGCACTCGAAATCATATATTGGCCCAAACCCTAAACCCCTAAACCCTACACACATGTAAACTTATGTGTATTTTTACGGTTGCAGCACCGATTGAGTTACAGTTCTGACTAGTTGAAATCCGCATCTGAGCAGGCCAATGAATGCAAGAAAGGCTGTGCAGTCAACTGGCAGAAACATGGGATGGACTACGGTTGGAGGCTGTCCATGGTGTTGGCGGGCTGGTTCGAGAGGCCACAAGGGCTGGATCCAAGTGACACAACGGCTATCCGAGAGTATATCTCCAAGGTCGGGAACAACGTTTGAGTGCGGGGACCGTCCAGGTTGATCTGATGATTTTGCTTCACGGGGCTTGCGCATGCATGGCATGCAATATCCCATCGAATGTCCTCTCGACAACGGGGTCTCTGAATCTCTTCTAGCCTAGATGAGCTTCGAAGAGCTGCTGTCCGCATTGCAAAATCAAGCCTTGCATTAATGCCATACAAGTCTCAGTTCAGGTGGTGATTGCTTGATCCCATGGAAAGACCCGACAACCTGCAACCTCGTATGTATGCTGTCTTCTTTGCATGCACGCGGCCCAGCTTCGATCTTCAGCTAGGGCGGCGGTGCCTTGCAGATCAGGGTTGCGAGCTGCTTCGTGATGGATGCACGCGTTTATCCGCTCTCTTTGAGTGGCTCTGCTGCGGCTATGCTGTTGGCATTGGGAGTACCAACGATCCTGTTACTTGACTAGCACACTGACCCTTGCAATCAGACTTATAAGCAAACCATGATCTTTCAATTGAAAGCTGGATCCCAAGTCCCCAGGCCTGCCAATGAACCCGACATTAGACCCTTGTCTATCCACTCCCCAAGCCCAGGTTAATGGTTCTTCTTGGGTTTTTGCTCGATGTAACTGCCTGTCTGAGGTTGCAGGCCGCCCACTATGTTGCGACCATTGCGGACGAGCAGCACTGTCGAGACGATGCCTCAATATTGGCTCTCATCAGAATGATGTTCTACGTTCGCTCACACTAGAACGTTGGTCAACTTAGGATTTGATGATCCTCGAAGCCTTCTCTGGGGTTGGCCGTGTTGCTGCTTCTTTCGAAGAGCAGGGGCACCGTGTGCAGGGTTCTTAAATGACATGTGGTTGCATTCAAGCTCCTGTCTGTGTAGCTTGGGTGTACATGAGAATATATGATTAGTTTGCAAGGTCAACATTCGACGTGCTCACGTCGCCCTTCGAGGAGAACATCCTGTCCACGGTGGGGCTCCTCAATCTCTTGAAGAAAACGCTTCGAATCCGGGCCGGGGGACTGCTGTGGGCCGGGCATCCTTGTTCGAACATGATATTTATTTCGCAATCAATACATCAACGATCTCGCGAACGCCCATACGGCAATCCTCTGGAGCCAAGACTCCCGACTGCAAACAGCCTGAATCGGTTCTTTTGCTTCGTCCCTATCGCAAACCCAAACCCCAAGACTCCAAGAATCCGCTCCACTCCAAGGTGTTCTGATCGCCAACCGAATCGCAACGCGATTCTGCTTACTCCTGTACTTAGCGACGGTCCGCCGGGTATGGAGTGCTATCGAACAACCCGCGTCCAGTGTGCTGAAGCACATCCCGCTGTTCACATTCTTGAGAGATGTTTTGAATGGCTGTACATGTGATGCTGGATGGGATGTTTGCTCGTTGCATCTTGTCATGATCAAACTACTAACTTTTTTGCGAAACGCATTTAGGACTGTTATTACTTCTCTAGATCAGAACGAGTCACAGTACATCGTGTGGATCCGAGTTGGATGGGCCTCTACGGGGCCCCGAATGCGAAACCCAGCTATCTCATGGGATGTTCGCGCTAGCCTTACTACCAATGTGCATCCTTGCAAACATCTGCAGGTGTCATCGGCTTCCCACGCCAGTTGCAATCAAGGAAGTGGCTGCCCAAGATCGGCAACCGAATGTCTAAACATAGGAAGAAGGACTTCCACGAAGCTGCAAAGTCGGTGGTGAAGAGAGTCAATCGCGGCCAGGGTCGGACAGCAGCTGTGTACCTTGGCTGATATTGCTTTCTACGCGTTTGGACCAGGCCCAGTTTCTGAGCAAAATCTAGCAGAATCTAGCAGTACTTAAATTACATATCCATGAGGACTGGCACGAAACGACTATCTACGACTGCGGCCTATCCTCGGGCTTTCGCTCGTGCAATTGCTCATATGCATCTTGATCACAACAGGCAAGAGGCGGGCCGCAGGTATACCATGTCTATCTTGCATTGTGAAGTCGATCCCATTCACATCACATCGAACCGATGCTGTTCCAGGAAGCACGAGGACCCCAGCTGAACATCGGTATGATCACCAATGCAGTGCAGAACCTCGCACCTTGACATATCTCCTGCTGCCAGTCTTGCAACATTTGGAACCCCAACCCTAAGCCTTAAACCTTCATCCCGACATTCCAACGAAGGAGTTTCCATGCTGGGCCGCTGCTGGTCTAGAGGACTTGCAGTCCTTTCTGATTGCCGAAGCAATTCGGGGTCATTGGGTGCCTTTGCGGACTATTCCTTTCTAAGGTATGGGATGCTCGAGTCAGCCAAATGTGCTCTGACCCCACCATCACTTCGAATTCTTAGGTAGTACAGAGAGGCCAGGCCACACCAGAGGCACCCAAAGGCACCAAACACCCAGTGTTCGCTGAAGCCGTCGAATCTCAGTTCGTGTTGTTAGGGTGACCAGAGTCTTTAGTTTCTTCACATACCGGGTCAAACTACTCCTAACATTTCTCTTCAACGAGGCCACACCATAGGTTGTGGGTTTGTCCGCTAGGTCTTGCATTTAAAACTATGTAGGTCTACCAATCTGGGCCGGGGTCTACAGGCTGCTAGTCTTTGCTTATGATTAAGGGAAGCTTGCAGTATTTTACAAAATAAGAACTACGGGGCTCTAACACGCACGTAGCATGTCCTTGCGATAATATTGTGTGGGGTTACAAGGCTGGGAAATTAGGTTTTTCCTTGTTGGGGGGTATTCTAGATAGGTTAGTATGTTAGGTTAGATTACATTAGATATTGTGGACCAGAATGTATTATCATAGGTTAGATTGTGTAATTAGGTGTTGCTTATTGGGGGGGGTATTCTACATATGATAGGTTATATTAGATTACATTATTATAAGATATTCTGGACCACAATGTATTATCATAGGTTAGACTGGGCAATTAGGTTTTGCTTATTGGAGGGTAGTCTATTACATAGGTTAGTGCGTTAGGTTAGATGTATTATCATATAGTCAGGTTAGACTGGGTATTTAAGTTTTGCTTATATATTGGGGTGGTATTCCATTACATAGGTTAGTATAGGTTAGGTTACATTATATATTGTAGACCAGAATGTATTATCATAGGTTAGACTGGGTAATTGAGTTTTGCTTCTTGGGGAGGTATTCTACATAGGTTAGTATGTTATAGGTTAGATTACAAGAGTTACAGGGCTAGATAATCGAACGGTCCGTGTTGATGTGTTCGGCATAGTTTAATTTCGGGCTTTCTGCTGGGATTCGTGGTGAAGCTTTGCGGGCACACGCAATTTTGTTATGGGAATGGGGTGCGATCTTCGTGTAACATCGGCAACTACACTGTGTACTACCTTGTTGCAGCAGCTTTACAGACCCGGGATTTTGACGAGGGCTCGCGCAGCACCCCCCAAACCCAAAATTTGTGGTTGGCAACCAAGCACCAGCAGCTGGCCAGAAGCAGCCGGACCAGGTGCCGCCGAAGGAGATTGAAGATCGGCAATGCGGCAACAAGAGTAACCTCAGATTGTCATGGGTAGTCTCCAAGAACCCCCAGCCCCGAACCCCTAGATCCTAGATCCCCCTCAATATACCACTAGACTCCGTGGGACTCTAGACCTCGGTGCAGTAGCAGATTTATGGTCTAATTCGTAGCCAGGTAAAGGCTTCGGCTAAGCATTTCATTATCACCCCAGATCCAGAACCCCCAGCCCCGAAGCCCTAGATCATAGATCCTACTCAATATACCCCTATAGACTCCGAGGGACCCTGATGTGCTCTAGACCCCGAGACCCGGCTCAATATTCTTGTGACCCCGACGTGTGGGAATGCATTGGGCTTGGGGCTTGCTTTGTGGCCAGAGGCCGCAATGATATATGGTAAGCAATCCAGGAACCATTGCTAAGTTCTAGATTCACAGATCCTTCACTTCGAGAGTCCATTTGGGGTTATAATAATTATATTATAAGGACATAAAGGCGAAGCTTTAGAGTTATGGGTATATATGATACATATGTGTCTACACAGGGCCCGGACCCTATACCAGGAAAACAGGGGTACTGTATGTATGTGCTGGTATTTATTGCAGGGTGAGACGAAATTGTCCCTACAATCGACCGAACCCCGGTATAATCAGTATAATGATCCCCGAGCCAAGCGTGAGAGAGCGTGAAAAAGCGTGAACTAGCGTGAAAAATATCCCCAAAGACCATCCTCACACAGGTCTCGCGTGAAAGAGCGTGAAAAAGCGTGAAACCGCGTGAATCTGTATACTACACATGCAGCTAGGAACCAAGCCGTACGTGATTAGCCTCCTACCACAGGACCCTATAAGCTTAGACTTATCCTACAGGCCCTTTAATTTGTTGTGTGTAGTTCTGACGAGACCCATATCCACCGCTCCTTGGTTGGCACGTTGTTCGAAAGATTTGCTTTTAGCTTTTACGGTCGTGATTTGCCCTGTAGCTACGATGGGGAAGCGTGGCGACATGTCAGCTGCGGCTGCACCAGTGTCTGCAAGAGTGCAGGCAATGGTCGATAAAGCTTTGCAGCAACATGGGAAGAAGGATAAGCCTGACGGTAGTGCCAGCGACCCTCGCCCGTTGGCAACACCGGCCCGACCTCCCATCAAGACCCCGGTGATCGAGACCCCGCCAGCAGCCCCAGCAGCGCCGGGACCGAGCCCTATGTCCACCGAAAGCATCAAGACCCCTGCAGCAGCCCCAACAGCACCGGGACCGAGCCCTATGTCCACCGGAAGCATCAAGACCCCGGCAGCAGCCCCAGCAGCACCGGGACCGAGCCCTATGTCCACCGGAAACATCAAGTCCCCGGATGCCAAGCGGCATCGCAGCGTGTCATCCCTGTCCTTGACTGCAAGCGAAGTCCCAAGGCTTCCTAGCTTTTCAGAGTCCTCTACCAAGCCCCGACATTCCGATTCCTCGACTACGATTAGCTTGAATCAGTATATGGCGGAGCTGAGCCTCGACAAAGGACAGATCTGAAGATGATGTGTTAGTAAAACATAGATACAGTCTACAGATCCCGGTTGCCAGGACTATCCCAAGATCTCGCCGGCACCCAGCTAGAGGAGGAGACCAAGGATCGATTTAAGCAACCTAAAAACCCTAAGCTCTCAACTTTGCAACCTTAAGCCTGAACCTTAAAACCCTAAGCCCTGAACCGTAAAACCCCGAGCCCCCAACCTCGCAACCCTACGGCCCCGATCTCATAACCCTAAACCCCAAATCCTGCCGACTTTAAGCCTTCACCTCAGACCCTGGTTTCACAGGCCGGGCTTCTTGGGAAAGACTTGTGTGGGCTCAAAAAGTTTAGCAGGGTTATACATAAATATATATATATGGGGATCGTATTGCAAGGCTTCCTATTGCGAGGGAGGTTCCGGTGTACTACCATACCACACTCCTGCTACTCTACTGCTACTCCCACTACCACTACCACTACCACCACCACCACCACCACCACCACCACCACCACCACCACCACGACCACGACCACTACCACTACCACTACCAGTACCACCACCACTACCACTAGCACTACCAGTACCACCACCACTACCACTACCACTCCCTCGCCTACTACTCCTACTACGACGACTAGTACTACTAGTACCACCACTATATTACTACGGGTACTACTGCTACTACTACTTAGTAGTGCACTATACTACTACTACTACTACTACTTCTTCTTCTCATACTTCCTCCTCTGGTACGATTACTAGTGCAGCTAGCTTAGTACCCTACTACTAGCAATAACAATACTAATATAACACCATCTCAGTACACTAAATTGTCAGGATCCAACGAACTGCTGTATCTGTGCAGCCGCGTGTGCTGCGGATGGTGCGATCAAGAAGGCCTACAGTGTTACATAGGGTCTACTAGCTATAGTATAGTTACCAATACATGTTTTTCTAGATATTTTTTTCTTCTTGAAGTCGATTTGGGCAGGGGTCACAACTCTTCTGTGGCGTTGCCTGCTTCTTGAAGTCTGTGGAGACGCCAACGACAGCGGCTGTTGAGACGGCCGCACATTCAGAGCCCGATCCCGAGTCGGCACCGGCAGCCAAGGCCACCCAGGCCGAAGTGGAAACGCAGTTGGATCCTGTGCCTACCGCTGCCGTACCGCCCCGTGTGGAGGTGGAACAGCCAGCTTCGAAGGCCAGTGTTTCGTTCACTGCAGAAGGCACAACCGCCACTGCAGAGGCCGATGCTTCAAGCGGACATGTGCGAGTCGCAGCGAGCTGCTCGCCCTTTTCAGCGAAGGCATCGGTTGAGGGGACGGAGAAGTCGGCGGAGGGCCAGCCAAAGTCGGCTAACCGCCCGGACGAGCTGGAGATGCATCTTGAACGACTGCTGGACGAGCAGGATGAGGTGGAGGCAGCGCAGCACCGAGCGGGTCGGGCTGAGAACCGAGCTGGGGAGGCTGAGCAGCGAGCCCAGGCTCTTCAAAGCCTCCTTGCGGCGCTGCTGCAACAACCGGCAGAGTTGAGTGGAGCTCGATCGGGCTTTATCCGAGACATGCTGCGCAGACCCGCCACCTGCGATATTGAGGCCATGACCCGGCAGCTGGAGCATCAAGTGGAGACCGGGCCAGAGTCGGCCGGGCCAGTTGTGCACATGCAGGATGTCAAGACGGAGTTCGTGGAGCCGGCAGATCTGCCAGAGAAGACCCAAAAGGAAGGTGTGCCAGCGGAGAGCTCAACGAAGGAGTCAGTGCCAGCAGGTGTGCCAGCAGATGTGCCAGCGGAGAGCTCGACCAAGGAGTCAGTGCCAGCAGGTGCCGTGGAGACCTCGACGAAGGAGTCAGTGCCAGCAGGTGCCGTGGAGACCGAGACAAAGGAGTCAGCGCCAGCAGGTGTCAAGGTGGAGACTTCGACGAAGGAGTCAGTGCCAGCAAGTGTCAAGGTGGAGACCGAGACGAAGGAGTCAGTGCCACCAGGCAAGGCGGAGACCGAGACGAAGGAGTCAGTGCCACCAGGCAAGGTGGAGACCGACACAGCCGTGGAGCCACGCGTGACACCCAAGCCGAAGCCAAATCGGGAGGAGGAGACCGAAGAGGAACGCAAGGCTCGCGAGGCCCACAACTCGTACATGCGTTGCTTTCGCAGCTTGCGCTCTCTGGCTGGACATTTATGAATGCAACTACTACTACTACTACTACTACTACTACTACTACTACTACTACTACTACTATTACTACTACTACTACTACTACTACTACTACTACTACTACTACTACTACTACTACTACTACTACTACTACTACTACTACTGCTACTGCTACTGCTACTGTGCTACTGCTACTACTACTACTACTACTACTACTACTACTACTACTACTACTACTACTGCTACTACTACTATGTTTGGAAATTCGAAGCCTATAACTTTCCAATCCCAGGCTCGGTCAATTGCCCACCGGAGGTGAGGGAAAAGGCTTTCACAAAGGATGGGAAGAAGCGCTCATCCTCGATTATGAGACACATGTATGAGATGTGGATCAGCAGCGGGTGTGATTGGCTTCAAAGCTCGATTGTCCTGAATGCAAAGAAGCGCAACAACACCAGGAGAACCGGCAGGTACGTTTGGAAACGCTTCGACCTGCTCAAGACAGAGCAACCCATCCGCAACAAGAATTCAAGCCCAAGACATCAAATACCGAATCCATAAACCTTAATTCTTAAATTTAGAACCCTAAGCCTTCTTGCCCTGAATGCTTGAACCCTAAACCCTGAAGCTTGAACCTTATGATTTGCAGTGTATCCCAAACCATCGAGGCATGGAGAGGCGATTGCAGAGGACATTCGTGCTTCCAAGAAAGGCATGGACCCAGACGGTCGAGGCCGCTGGTGGAAGGTGCATCCCGACCAGCCGAAGAACGAGGTGGGCCGACACCCTAGAATCCTAAGTAAACCCCAATAATGTAGTTGGGAGGAATCGTACCAAAACGAAATCATATTGACCGCACCCACAAGCTTGTAGTTAGACTGACATCCCGAAGTCCTGACCATCCCTTCACTGACTTGCTACAAGCGACGACGCAAGAATGCAATAATTATCCTATGCAAAAAGTAACCAGGAATGAGATCCAGTGTCCTATGGGGGCTACTGCTATTCTATCGTTTCTCGGAGGTCCCTAAGAATTTGTCGTTGCCTATGGCAGGACTGGGAGCTGTTCAAGTGCTTCGACTCCAGGGAGGAGGTTACGGAGTCCGAGAGTGAGACGGAGTTCCAGATGAATGCCGATGTTGGTCTGGACCATGCCGGAACAACGGGTGCCTTGTGACTTGCCTCGATACATACCTGGGAATAGTTCAACACTTATGAACGTAGACTGTGTGTAGGATGCACATTCAAAGTCCTAGCTAGATGCAAAGTTTTAATGAACAATGCGTTATGAAGGTCGCATCTTCTCGATTCCTCTTCTGGTGCACGTGGCAGCAATGACCCGGGCTCGAACGACCTGCCGCCTCCACCTCCCCCGAAGCTGCCGCGTAAAGAGAAGAAGGCAAAGCCCGCACCCGAAGAAGCTCTTGACTTGCTGAAGAAGGGCACTCAGCGCATCATCGAGGCAGACGGCATGGAGGCCATGCTCAAGAACGGCGGGATGCACCTTGGACTGGATCGTGTTGTCGAAGCCCTACGGATTAGCCCAAACGGGCCCAAACCCTTAAACCCTAAACCCTAAACCCAAAACCCTAAGCCCAAACCCTTAAACCCCCAAACTCTGTAGACCCTGAAGCCCAAGCCCCGAAATTTCTAAACCCTAACCTTTCAATCTCATCCAAACCCTTAAACCCTAAACCCGAAGCCCAAACCCTTAAACCCCCAAACCCTGTAGACCCTGAAACCCAAGCCCCGAAATTTCTAAACCCTAACCTTTTCAAAATCATTCGCGCAGGGGAAGGATATTATTCAGAAGGGATCATCCGGGGTTATATAGTATATAGGGCTTCAGGTTGTGGGGTTGCTAGTTCCTGAGCTCAGGGGCGATGCATTTGCAAAAGCTATGGTTTCCGACATGCGGTCTGATATCGACTTGATGAAGCAGCGGCACACCGAGCTTCAGCATGCAGTCACGACAAAGGAGGCTGATTCAGAGATCGGGACTTTGAACATGTTGCTCAAAGCGAGCTACAGCATGTATGATGAGAAGATGAAAGCGGTGAAGCGTGCAATTCGTCCGGCCCCGAAAGCAAAGGCCAACCCAAAAGGGAAGGCCCACGCGAAGGCCAAAGCGGCTGCCTGAAGAGGCAGATTTTTCAAGTGAACTCTGGATCCGACGGGGTGATCACGCCTCTGACTGTGGAAGCTCTGTTAGAACCTGTCTGCATAGCAGTTCCTCGTATAATCGCCACATGATGAAGTCTGGGGCTGCAGGCGGGCTAGAGCATCATGAGCAGTCGTCTTTAAAGGCGTGCAATAGTTTTGCTGTGCATCCGGATCCTTTACGCTTGGCCGGGCTTGATGTCACCGTGTATCGCATGAGCCGCGAGAAAAAACACTCGACTTCACATTCCTTGAGCGTTGATTGTGAAACTGTGTCTGACAATTTCAAACCGAACTCAGAACTCTCGATTGGTTCCTGCGCAGGTGTCCCGGGAATGATTCGGGAGCGCTTGCTGGCAGGAGTTGGTTCAGGCGAAGCTTGCTCGCACAATAAAAATAGTCGCTCTGAGCCAAAACCCCCAAATACTCGAACTCACAACCCTGGATACCCTGACCATGATCACCGTCTGGACCCTCAGCTTTAAGTGCCGACTGAACTTCAACTCAACTCCAGAAGCCCAACCACCGAAACCCTAATCCGTGAATAATCATAAAAATAGAAACCCTCAAGGCCCTGAGCCCAGAACCCTAAACTTTGTAGTATATGGTAACCCTATGTATGAAAATTCAAGTGCTCTATCCCCCCAACCGATTGAAATGACATCCTCAAACCCGAACCCATGACCCTGCCCTGCAACTGCCCTGGAACTCGACTCGTGACGGTAATACTACTCATAATGCGATCTTTAACTAATTACAAGCCCAAGCCCAACGCAAGGAATGGAGTGCATCGTCTGCGCAAGAGCTGGCCGACTGCGTGGCCATAGATCCTCGGGTTATAAATTGTAGGAATCATGGGTTTCGTATACCCTCCAACGTCACGTGGTACTGGGTATAGCTAGCGTTTATAAAATGGTCCCAAGCACCGATACGGTTGACGATTTTTCGGGGAGAGTTCTCATAAGGAAGTCGCAACTATATATATATATATATGTATATATGGAGACAGATAAATGAAATTACCTTCCCGAATCCTATTAGATCTACAGGGCTCTGGGTTCAAAAACACGTAACCATTCGTGTCGGCTTTAAATGCACAGGGTCGAAACTTGGGATTTCCAATCAAAGATTCGTGCTTCTGGGTCCAACGAGCTCTTTAAAGATCTTGATTGGTGTCTAGTTGGCATGTTATATAACTATCGGGGAAGTACTGATAGAATTCCTTCGTCGAATAGTCATTTCTGACCATCTAATTTAAATCCCATTCAAGCCACGGCGATAATATTAATTAAACCCTGAAGCCAAACCTTTCCCCCTCAGACACCAAACAAGATCCCTTGTCCGGAAACCCGATGAGCCCTTAAACATCCCTAGCCGGTGCCACAGGAGCTTGGCTCAGCGACGCCGGCGTCTGTAGAGAACTTGGCTGCATGTGGCGCGAGGGGTGCACACATAAACAATGTCTGGCGAGATCTTCGCAGCCAATGCAACACGACATCGAAGAACATAGCGGTTCCTTGTCGAATTATTGATTCCCGCTGTGAGCTTTCTCCTATCGGCCACAACATATTTCCCTTAAGCTATGCATGTTGAACTATCATGAGGATCTGCCGCTGGACAGCATCAAGCTCAAGGTGCGAGCACGTCCCGATCCCAAAACAAGGTCTGACGAGACAACTGAGATGAGTTTTCCAATCCTGGCGCCACACTTGTTGACACACCACTTGCTTCAGAGCGGAAAGATTAACATCGACCGAGCTGCTGCAGAGCGCTTCTGGCTGCACTGGAAGCAGGTAAAGGCGCCTTTTATGGAAGGCTTCGATTCAACGGATTTTGTACCACTGGCCATGTACGGTGATGAGGCAGAGTATACAATAACGAAGGAGAAGATCTTGGTATTCTACATCAGTAACTTTGCAAGACGGTTTTGTTGGTGATCACTTCGGTGCTGTTATCCCCGAACTTCTTACAATTCAGCTTGAACGGTTTGGGTTTTGGGATTTAAGGTTTATAGCGCTTCGGGTTTAGGGTTGTTATTATTATAATGGTGCCAGCAGGTCTGGGATCTGGGTTTAGCTGTTCAGGGGTGTGAGGTTTATGCTTATTATACAGAGGCATAGAATCGACTGGCAAAGTTTTCAAGGTGACGTTATATAAATATGGCAGGTTATCCAGTTTTCGAAGGCTCCAAGACTGTATTTGGAAGTCGGTTTCCAGTGTTCGCCATCAGATCTGAGCGTTTGTTTGGATACGACACGATCTGGCCAGTGTTTGATTTCTTAACTTGGAGCATGAACACGATGTATTCGGGAATTTTCCCTGCAAAGAACCTGGCTGGTGATGATTTGTGCAGCTTGGGCCCAAACATGAGGCCAAACGACCCAATGTACGACGGTTACAAATTTCGATTAGTTGAACTTCGCGGCGATTGGAAACACCATGCCCACTGCTTCAAGTTGGTAAACCACTGGTCGTGCAACGACCTATGTCACTGCTGCAAGGCGTCGAAGACAAATCGGCTTTATCCGTACACTGACTTTACACGTCAGCCACTGTGGCTGTCTTCAATAAGGACCCATGCTGAGTTTTTAGCAGGACAACTTAATGAACCGATCAATTCACTGATCTACACGGCGAGGTTTGACTATAGGTTTATTCGCTTTTGCTCGGTCCACACGATACAGCTGGGGATCGCTCAGTTTTGTCATGGCGGCTGTTTTTTCGAGCTGTTCAAGGTTGGGTGGTTTGCTGGAGATGACAAGGCTTCGAAGATGAGACATGGTTTCATTCGTTTCAAAGAGTTTATCCGGAAACACAAGATTGAGTGTTCACAGCCCCCGTTCAAAAGCTATATGTACGTCACTGCGGGGGAGGAGTACTGTTACTTTGGAAGCAAAGCATCCTGGCATCAAGATGGTTCATGATGAGTTCTTGTGCTCAGTTCTAGATTCCTTCTCGAGCTATTACTAACTACCATATGGCCCTTTATTCTACTTCCCATTATAACCCATAGTGGCCGTAATGTGTTCGGTGACATGAGGCATACAACTCCCGAGTGATCACAAGCTGGCTGGCGGACGAATGCTGCAAGGCCTATGAGCAACACCCGACGGAGCGCATGCTTTTGACATACACGTGTGTGCATGCCTTGCATGCTTGGCACTGCGACCTGGAGCAGTGTGGCCGCTACCTCACCCAACCGGAGTCTTGGCTACGTGCGTAGTCAATCGTGCAGCTATTTTAGTGTGAATTTCTTTCTGCAATGTGCACTATAAAGTATTACCCTTCCCATTCCATGTTTCCAGGAAGCCGATGGCTTGTACGACTTGGCTCTGACCCACCTGCAATCCTACTTGCATTTGGCAAAGCTAGCGGGGGAAAACCGGGAGAAGCCCAGCTGAACTGGTACCATTTTCGCAGGACTATGTTAAAGTTTATGGCTCATTAAAACGCATCCCAAGTCATCTGCCTCAGGATGGCGTGGATGCTTCGCCCCAAACATCATATATTTCACCACTTATCAGTGTTTATGTGTGAAGAGCGATACAACGTTCGCTTTTACCACACATATAGAGACGAGGCTGCGATGCAAGTCGCAAAACGTTTCTTGGCCTCCATCTATATGTACACCCGAACAATCCTTAAATCCGTTAACGTTGGGCCCCACGACTCAAAAGATTCCGCTATATAGATGTTTATGTATGTATACATATATACGCACACTGTATATATATATATATATATATGTTTTAATCATACATAACTGTAAACCCCAGAATAATCAATGACGGAAAACGAGCACTACCCAAGGCATCGCACGTCAGTGCCAACCTGATTGCCTGGAAGAAGCCTGGATTGGCAAATGGTACATGATGTGCCCTGGCCGAAACATAAGACATATCATAGCATCCCAGCCCTAATATAACCCATAATATTTACCATAATATTTTTTTCGAACACCCAAGGTTGCAACACGATTATTCGGCCCTCAAAGCCAAGCGGATCTGGAGACCGAACCAATTCAAGAGCCTTAAAGGCAAGCGTCGCAAGATTCGATGAGTCAATGCGCGGGGCCAGCTGTCGCATGCGCAGTGTCGCAGAAGCCGACATTGCCCCATAGATTCGATCCCTAGATCTGCATAACCCCTTATGCTAGGTATAACCTGCATCCCTAAGCCTCGTATAGTCCTAAGTCCGAAGGATCGATATCCGATAGCTGCTCAACTGATCCAGATTGCAAGCTGTGTGCCACCGATTCAAAAGCCAAACATGCAAAGAGCCCTGCCCAAGCCCGGTCCCACACCCTAACGCCTGGAACCCTGAACCTTAGCTTTACCTGGTTAACCCTGAAACCCTACGCTCTGAAACCCTATGCTCTGAAACCCTGAACCAAACCCGGAACCAAAAAACAGTTTAGGGAGTTCAGGGCTTAAGCTTCGGGGCGTTCGTGGTGAGTTGCGTTGAGCCAGATTCAAAGTCTGGGTCTCCAATTAATAATTATAAACTTGGCATGACGAACCCGGACTTCAGATTTGTGGCTTCGGAAGGTTTGGATTTTCGAATATTTGAAGGATTACAACTCCGGACCCAAATTATGCCCTGATCGTATCATTCGAGCTGAGGAATTCCTCATCCTGCATGCACATATAGAAAAACACGCACATGTACGCACACACACACACACACACTCACATTAGTTATAATAACGACCCTACACCTTCAACTCTCGAGACCCTACAACACCTCAAACCCTAAACACCTTACATTTGCTTTGGCTCAAAACTGTTTGGCTCAATATCGCTTTATAATGAGAAGCGAATCACCTAATTGATTGCCGGGCCGGTGGTTCGCTATGCTTGGGCCTTGCAACTCGTTGCCGGCTGTCAGAAACATCAACATTAACGGCTCAAACCCAATTTTTTTGGCTCAATCGCATATTATTTGGTTCAAAGCCGGGTCGCTTACCCAGCTTGTTTGGTTCAATCGCTTGTTTTTGGATCAATGGTGGATCGTTTGGTCTGCCGGGCTGGTGGTTCGCTATGTTTAGGGCTTGCAACCAATTGCCATGTGTGTCCCGGCAAGACTCAGAGAATTATCAAAAAGTCAAAGTCCTAATAATTTTGAGCCTTTGGGCCGAGTCCTATTATTTTGAGCACTTTGCCAAGTCCATGATATACGAGGTCTCGGATCCCCAGGGTTAAATATCCCCCGTTTTGTGAAAACTCAGATCCCAAAACCACAGATCTTAAGGGGTGTCCCCCTAAAGGTTTTCATGACAAGTAAGTGCAAAAAGCACAAATCGCAAGGGGTGTCCCCCTTAAGGTTTTGTGAAGATTCAAATCCCAAAACCACAGATCTTAAGGGGTGTCCCCTAAAGGTTTTCATGACAAGTAAGTTCAAAAATCACAAATCGCAAGGGGTGTCGCCCTATTATTTTGTAAGAACTCAGATCCAAAAATCACAGATCGCACGGGGTGTGCCCCTTTCAGGCTTTGTAAGAGCTCAGATCCAAAAACCACACATCGCAAGGAGCGTCCCCCTAAAGGCGTTTGTAAATGATCCACCCTGTCCCTCTCACTTGCCTCCTACCTCCCCCACTCCTAACTCATTCCTTCCCTTCCCATCTCATGTCTCCTCACCTCCCATCACTTTTTCTCCCATCCACTCATCTTCTTATCATCTTCTTATCACCTTCATCACTTTTTAATTTGTCTTATGGGGTCTATAGAGCCCATATAGAAAGCTTCATAGATATATAAACCTTACAGATCCTCGAGATAAAGAACTTGTAGGAACCGCTTATGTTTCCCACAAATGGAGTCCTTTATAAAAAAATCTTTGAAAGATCGATTATATGGAGCCCTCATACACAGTCTTTATATACTCCTTATAGAAATCTATAGATCCTTTGTACAGATCCCTGATATGGAACCCTTTGTAGAAAACCCTTAGACTATACAATCCAAAGAACGCACCCACCCTCCACTCCCTCTACCTCTCCACCCATCTCCCCACTCCCTCCTCTTCCCCTCCCTTTGTCCACCCGCCCTCCCCTCTCCCCACCTTTTCCTTGCGCTCCCTCTACCTCCTCTCTCCACCCACCCTCTTCTCCCTGTTCCTCTCCACCCTCTCCCCACTCACTCACCCAACCCACTCAGCCCGGCCAGGCTCCCCAGCTGGCCCTGCCTCAAAGCAAGCCGGGCGTGCTGGCCGTGGATCTCAGCAGGCCCCTGCCCACCCTCGAGAGCCCACCAGGCTCAGCAGGCCAGGCCGCAGGCAAGCTGCGAGCTGGCCGCCTTCGGCAAGCTGTCTAACATTGTTTCTTATCCACTTTCACCTATTCCCCCGCTTCAGTCCATGCCCTACCTTTCACTCCTTTCCAGACCCTTCTGATATGAGTAAAATGAGAGGAGGAGGTCAGAGGGACGAAGAACAGCTCTCTCCATTACTTTCTCATCTGCTTTGACCCCTTCCCTTTCCTGGCTCCATGCATGCCCTGCGAGAAGAGAAGAATAAGAGAGAAAAGAGGAAGAGCAGAGGAGAAACTGGTTTCCCCTCTTTCATTACGTAGCATTTCTTTTGGCCACTTCCTCCACACTTCTCGTATCTTCCTCTCTCTTCTTCCTCTGCTGGGCTTGAAGCTCTCTCTCGCCCTCTCCGCAACTCTCTTCTTTCTGTCGAGCGGACGAGCGGTGGGAGAGGAAGGGCACAAGGTGAGTGAAGACGAGAACACTTCTTCCTTGTCTTCCTCCACAACCTCTTCCTGGTTTTTTACCAATGAGACGGTGAGATAGGACAAGCAAGGCACTTTCGACTGCTTTCTGCATCGCTTCCCCTCCCCTCCTTTCTCTCACTCTCTGCCTCTGTTTTTGCTGGTCTCTCTCTCTTACTTTCTCTCTTTGTTTCTGTTTTTGTTTCCTTATGGCTCTCGTTCTCCTTCTGCCCTTCTCGGATTGTCTCTCCGCTTCTGTTGTCTTTCTCTTACTCCCTTGTCTTCTTCCTTGTGAATTGTCCTTCTTCCTTCTGAGTGATAGAGGGAGAAGGACGGGAGGCAGGAAAGGCAGGAGGAGAAGGAATAGGGGGCAAGCGATTCTTTCCAAGCGAACATAATAGGCGGAGAGAAGCGGAAAAGGGAATGTGCAGAAGTAGACGGGAAGGGAGGGAGGGAGAAAGAGGGATCTGGAGAGAACAATGAAAAGGAGGATGGTGAGGTGATGAGAAGAGTGCCCTTTGCATGCCCTGAACTCTCCGTTCCTTTCATTTCTCCTTCCTTATGAAGATGAATAGGGTAAGAGAAGAGGAAGAAGGCGAAGGGCAAGGAAGTAAGAGAGGCGAGCGAAGGAGGAATTCTCCTTTCTTCTCCGAACCGTCTTCCCGCATCTCACCGCTTCCTTTCTGTTGTCTGCTCTTCTTTCCTGATGTCTTCGCAGAGCCTTTCCTCCTTCTTGTCCTTTTCTTTCCTCTGGTCATTCAAAGAGGAAACGATGAGGAGACGCGAACTGATTCTCCTTGCTCCTTCTTACCACACTCTGCTTCTCTACATCCCCCTGCTTTCTTTATACTCGGTTTGGTGTTCATGTCCTCAAGAGGCCCCCTTAGGGAGGAAGTTGGTGGCCTCCAGAAAGTTGTGGAAGTGTCTGAAGGCGCCTACAAGCCTCCTCGAAGCCCTCGCGAGGCCCGGAGTCCTTTGAGATACGGCAACACTGGTACTCTCTCGCTTCCTCTTCTGTGTCCTTCTTCCTAGTCTTCCTCGTTTCCCTTTCTTTCGCACTCGACTTCCCCCACTCTCTGTCTATGACTTTCTCTTATCCACTTTCACCTATTGCCTCGCTTCAGTCCATGCCCTAGCCTTCACTCCTTTCCAACCCCTTCTGACATGAGCAAGCATCAGGAGAATGAGAGGAGGAGGTGAGAGGGACGAAGA